GACCGAAAACCACAGTCCAAGGAGCTCACGTTGGGCAACCTGCTGCGGATGCGGCTGGCCCGACTCTCCAGCACTCCCAAGAAGACGGACCCAGACCCAGAGGTGCCCTCAGAGGGCAAGGCAGAGACCAAGCGTGGGGACTCAGAGTCCTCCACCATTAGTGAGGAAGACTACTTCAGCAGCCAGAAGGGTGAGTTAGAGGACAGAAAGGCGACCGATGCCACCACTCAAACAGAGCCAGGAGAGGAGACGCCTGTGCCCAGCATGAGTGAGGTGGGAACACAAACCAGCACCAGCACAGTGTGTGCAGGCACCCAAACCGCAGTCGCCACCAGGGTAGCGAGCTCCCAAACCACGGTGTGTTCCAAGTCAACCACCACCCAGACCGATGTGGATGAGAACATTCTCTTTCCTCAGGGAACCCAGTCTAAAGAAGAGTCACCACTATCGAAAATGTCCGTGTCGAGATCTTCCAGTCTGAGGTCTTCATCCTCTCTGTCTTCCCAGGGTTCCGGGGCAAGCTCCATTGGCTCCCACACTTCCCTCAGAGCCACTGCCTTCCACAGCCCCGGATATCCCAAGTACTTGGGCACCCCCTGCTTGGATCTGTGCTTAAGTGACTCGTTTAGAAACTTGAATAAAGAGCGGCAGTTTCACCTCACTGGTGTCAGGTCCCGCCTCAACCACATGCTGGCCATGCTCTCAAGGAGAACATTCTTTACTGACAACCACCTTGGCTTTAATCCTGGAAATTTTACCAGAGCATCAGCTAATTTGCTTGTTATTAGAGACACAGCACTTTATCCTTCCTATCAGTGACTGCTCAGTGTTCAGGCTCCTGGTTTCAGCCAGACTTGCAGTAGACATCATCAGAGCTTCCTGCTTTATAAAGTATCACATGTCCCCAATTGCCTTTCTTTCACCTAACTTTCAGTCACCTGGTCTGTCTTTGAATTCTATAAGCTGCATATTATTTTACATGCTTTTATTTTATTTTTGTCATATACAGACCAGGTATTGGTTTTATGGCTTAAACACTATGGGTACAGTTTTTTGCACATTTTTAATATTGAGATGATTAAAGAGAATATTTAGGTGTTCTAAGGTTAATTCAGTAAGAGATAAAATATGTTTTGTATTTTTCTTGATTTGCATGCTCCTTTGTTTTAGAGGTTTGAATGACCAGTGTTTTTATGATCAAAATCCTATTTAGAAAAACTTCCTTAATTGCATATCTCTTTAGAGTATCTATGTTCTTAGCATTAAATTGATATAGACAACTTTTGTTTGATTATTTGAGTACTCGTTTTTGCTCTCTGGCACTTTTTAACTCTAGGAGTATGTCACAAATATATGCATCTAATAGATATCTATGGAATTAAAAAATTTTTTTTTAGTGTCAGGGTGGGGAAGAAGTAGATGATTCAAAATGGAGAAGAGAAAATATATGCACTTCAGGTTAGAAGACATAAAGCTAGTATCAGTGTCATACCTTCCTTACCATTATGAATATTGATGTTGCTCTGTAGTTTGACTGAGGAAGTTTGCCAGAAATAGCAGCCCTTTGCTTTTCTTTTTCAAAGAAAAAGCCTGAAAGCCGGCCCGTGGCTCACTCGGTAGAGTGCGGTGCTGGTAATACCAAGGCCACGGGTTCGGATCCTATATAGGGATGGCCGGTTTGCTCACTGGCTGAGCGTGGTGCTGACAACACCAAGCCAAGGGTTGAGATCCCCTTACCGGTCATCTTTTAAAAAAAAAAAAAAAGAAAAAGAAAAAGCCTGAGCTATTTTGTTGAAACCTTTGGTTCTCTGCTTCTCTGCCAAAGAAGGCCTTCCTGGATTCATCCCAATATTAGCTCTAGTAGCCCTATGGGCCTAATTTCGTCAGATGGGTGTATTGACAATGATTTAGCAATCTAATATCATAGAGTAGGGGCAAAAGAGGACACTGACAATTATACCAGATTCCTAGCCTGGTGGCAGGCAATGTAACTGGTTTCTACACCCTGCTAATCAGGATTGGCATGGCTGTGGAATCCTGTTTTTGTCTGTTCTCATTCGCATGGACAGACAAAAGGAAGAGAGTTAGATGATGGCTTCCTCCTTCACCTGACTTGAAATCAAAAGAGATCTATAATCGGGGAGGGTGTTGCCTGCCGCAGAGACTGCTGATGCACCCAGATCATGAACACTCCTGCAGGTTTTCATACATGCACCAGGACCCCCTTCTGATGACCAGGTTATTTGCTAGGTGAGTGCTATAATCTGTGGCTGTGAAGCAAATACAAGGAAACTGGTCCATGTCTGGCTGTAAACAATTCTAGGCTAAGCGTTGAATAAACATTGTTTGAACCATTTTACACATTTAGGTCACTTCATATGTGCTATCTTTGATCCTCACAATAATGTAGTAGAAAGCTATGTAGGTTAACATAAAGTCAGTATCTTTAACCTGTTAACATAGGTTAAACAACTGCTATTTCCAACTTTCAAATGAAGAAACTGAGTCTCAGATTAAGTAGCATATTCAAGGTCACATGGCTGGTAAATGGTGACACAAGAATTTGAAGACATGATTCCTGATTCTAAGTTCAGCACTCTGTTATACAACTATTTCTCTATGTGCAGTATGGAGGCGTTAGAGTATACCTTGAGAAGTGGCAGTTAATGCAGTGGTGAATGGAAAACAAAAACTTAGCTGCATCAACAAACATAGGTACAAAGCTATAGGGTCCCCCAGTCCTCCCCCCACTCCCCTTTCTTTCTGTGTCCTGACCGAAAATCAGAGTTTCTCGATCCCTCTGTGACCCAGCCAGCTGCAAGTTCTTCCTGGTAGGCTTGAAGCAAAGCCAGGGCCTTGCACATTCCCAGGCACTGATACAGATGTCTAGGTGGTTGCCTAAAACACTGAAAGAAACAGGCCCAAGCCCTGAGCCAAATTCCTTAAACCCTTGCATAAACTCCATACCCTTACCCCCTAGCTGTGGACATATCTAAGTAGAATATCCCCTTCTCTCGCTGTCTATCCTGAGGATAAGCTGCAGCACTCTGTAGGTAAATTCCCCTAAGAAATGCTTTGGACTGATTACACTGGCATTTAGTGCTGTTTTCTTTGGAATCCCAACCTGCCCCATCTTGGGATGGTTTGGGACACTCCCTCATGAGAACTCCACTGCTGCTGCTTTTGGGTAATTCATTTGGATGAAACAAAAGCCCTAATCTGTGATAATGTATTTAAATTCCATTTGAAATTTTAACTCAATGTTCTGTGGAACTGTTAATAGGATTATATGAAAAAGATTCTGTGTTTAGGTTGGGAAATGCTGGACCAAATAAATTTATTTGTTTATTTTTGGCGGCTGGCCGGTATGGGGATCCAAATCTTTGACCCTGGTGTTACAAGGCCACACTAACCAACTAAGCTAACAGGCTGAACCAAATGAATTTAAACAAGGCTCTTTACTACAGGACTACTCAGATCTTTGAACTAACGATCACAGTGAATTTCTCAGAGCAGTGCAGGTATATGGCCTATCACAAACTTACCCAACCACAGAGCACTCTTTTTGTAGAGCAGGACCCAAACCCATTATTCTCTGAAAGTGTTGACAACAATTAGAAATAAGAGTAAGAGATACAGGGAATCATGAGAAAATGGCCCAGTCTCTCAGAGTAAGCAAAGCTTTTCTGGAGTTTGAGTCCAGAAAGTATCACTATAGAGCAGAGTTTCTCAAAGTGAGATCCGAGACCCACCTGCACCAGAGTCTGCTGGGATGCTTGTCTAAAATGTTGATTATTGACTACACTCTCAGTGGAGGGCGAGTATGGCAGCCTATATAATTCAGAAATATTTGTTACCTTCCCTGGGAGAGAATTATCTCTATCTGTCTGCTGTCAGACTTGTCCATTATAGACTTGGCTATAAATATTTCAACATATATGTCTAAAAGATAATTCACTTTTAAAAAACCCACAACACCATTATCACACCTAAACAACTTTGATGAAAATTTCTCAATATCATCAAATAAATACTCAGTGTTTAAATTTGGTTGTCTCATTTTTTTCTCCCCGATGGTTCGTTTGAATTAGAGAGCCATACAGTTTTAAGATCAACTTAGTCAGACTGCAGGGTTGACATTCTCTTGTAAAACTTAAGGAATCGACTGAAGAGATGCCAGTCTACCTCTGTAGGCAGTTGTACTGGGGATTACGTCTTTTTCTTAATGGAAATTAAAATGACTAACAAGAAAAGCTAAAGTACGAGTTTGTGTAAATTAAAAGTTACATGAAGGACACTCAAGAGTGGGGGATAAAAAATAGAGTCAGGAATGAGGCTAAAGTGTGTGCCACAGTGTGCACACGTCCTTTGTACAGGCTACACATTTAACTTTAAGCTTTCCAGTAGCCAAGACAGAAAAAGAAACCTGGTAGATACATCATTCACAATGTCCATAAGATTAAAGTAAATCCAGGTACAGGAGGAACAATTATCCCTGGTACCAAGATCAGGCAAGAATTTCTTACGAGGACTCAGGAATAGTACTGTGAAGTATCTTGATAATCACATCCTACTAATGACAATGACAGATATTCTGGGGCGTGCCCATACCCTCTATCCCAAAGGCAGTTGTCTGAACCTGTGAATGAGTTGAATGTATTCACACACATTCTGTGAGCATGGAGAATGCACCTTCTGCTGAATTTGTCCAGATGAGCATTGTTAGGCTGGGTTTCCCTGAGCCACACGCCTAAATGTATGCCCCAGTTTACCTGGCATAGTTCCAGTTTGTCTCATCCCCAGTTCCCATCTGGTTAACACCCGCTTTCGTTCTCAAAAGTGTCCTAGTTTGAACAATAAAACATACGGTCATCCTATGTAGAAAGCACCTT